ATGTAGCCAAAAGTTGAAGGGGATTATTTAGTTTTTCTATAAATTAAAACATTAAAATAAAAAGCACATTGTTACAAGGCCAGAATCTGTACTCATGTGTCAGAATAATGGTTTTCTTAGAACACTGATCTGCTCTTTGATAAATTATAAAAAGTTGTGGGGGGTTTATGAAAATCTTACCTTATGGTCAAATTGATTAAGACTGTATAGATTTGTTTATAAGGTTTTATTTGAAAATTGGGCCTAACATTAATAGTACATCAATACAAAGGTAAAATTTGGTTTTCCTCTTTTGAACAAAGTTTTTTTGTAATACTGAGCCACAATGAAAGGTTTTTGCCTTTTAAGTAAACTGCAAAAAATAAATAAATAAATAAAAATAAAGGAAAAACAGGGGAGAGAGACTCAGGCAGCCACATGCTATCTTTATTGGGTATGCTGTTTGGGTTTTTGCCTTTTGAAATTTTTGAGTTATCACTTCTGCTAAATGAATAACCAATGATACTATTTTGTAACAGTAAGTATTCTAAATCTTTGATATTTGACAAACCTTCCAAAATCAAAATTTCAAGTTCTAAATTAAGTCCTTTTGATTTCATTAACTTCTTCAATGTTAGGTCCCCTGAAGTCTAAAAGAGACATCTGGCTTATCTGGCATGTTGAAATTATAGAGTGAGCACTGTCAAGTATGAATTGGTATTCGGCTTTCTTTGGGCTGTATTTATATGAAAGCGTTATTGGTATGTGTTCCAGAATTGTGTAAGATTCCTATAATTTCAATATGACTTAGTATATGTTATCAGTAATAATTGTTATACTAAATTGTATGCCACAAAAATAACCAAATTTCCTTGTTGATTGAGTCTTAAACCATAGCTGTTTTAAGCCTCTTGTCATCCAAAATTATTTTTACTTTGATCCTTCTCAAAAGGTGATTTTATAATCAGCTATGGGACTCTAACAGGGGCTCTTGAATGCACATTTCTGATATCTTTAAAGATTGTGCCATTAATATAGAGGGAAAAACTTCTAGGACTCTCAAGAAGAGCTGATGTGTTCATGAATATTAAACAGAACAGGAATTAACTGTATGGTCTGAACTAAGAGAATAATGAAATAATCTATGACTGTTTGAAATATTTCTGATCCTTTTTGTTTTTCAGGGTCAAAAAATACAACAACTTTCCTTTTGAGCTGTTTATACCTTTTAACAATTGAATGAAGCATATTTCTATCTGCAAACTTTGGAGGCTATTTCTTTCTCTCTACCTGATTTCTCCAGAATTTTGAAACTAATTGTATTCTTAGCATATGGCAACATAGTTTTTTGCATAAGTTCAATAAGAATCTGCTTTTTGTTTTGCTTTCTTTTGCTTTCTGTAACAGGACACAACTGGAGACACTGATTATTTTACCAAGGCTTTGACTGGAAATGGCATGGTTTCAGGCTGCTTTGAGTAACTGAGGTTGACTTACAGAGCTGATAACAGCCCCTTGGAAATACTGGTCTCATATGTTGTCCTTTACAGGGCTCCTAACCTGTAGTAAATAAAGAATGTCACTTTCTGACAGACCCAGGAATCCCAAGTTATTGTGGGACCTCAAGAAGAGAGAAATTCACCCAATTCATACAGGTATCTGCAGGCACAGATGAATCCTTGGCCAGGCTAGAGACTCTTAAAAGGTCTAATCTGAGATTCCTTATGAAATAAATTCCAGCAAAACCAATTATTTTTAGAAAAAGAATCTATGTGGCAAATAACTATTCTTTCTGCACTTTATGCAAATAAATAGGCCAAATATAATGGGACTGGAACTTATTCTGCAAATAAACTGGTCCTACTAAGATTTGTGTTTGGTAGAAATGGGGAGCTGGAGAGAGAAAAATTGTTTCAGAAAAAAACTATAGTACAACTGTTATTAGATTCCAGCCTTGTCCACTATGTTTGAGTCTCTGCTAATGACCCCATATCTGATTGAGTCTTGGGGTCATTCACCTGTATCCCTTAAGGCTTCAGGTCAGTTCTACAAGGATTCCTGAAGTGAGGACTTTCTCTCCTTATGCTGGGGCTCATTATTTGTCTTATCATCCACCTGTTCACTTAAGTGCTGTATGAAAGTTGTGGATAAGAGCACCAATGTTTTGTTATACAGACCTTGGGACCTCAACCTGGCACACATGAATACATACCAACAATTACAAGACAGTTTCAATCCTCTTACCTTGAGGGCAATTCCTACTCCAAATCTGCCCCTATGAGCAGGAAGAAGTTACAGTGGCGGTCAGCCTTTTTCCATTTCCATAACCCACAGATTAAAAATAAGGTATGATGAAACCCAAAGGAGGGGGACTGAAACTGTCTTTGCAAAAATTGTAACAGTGAGAAAATTCTGACCTAATCAACTCAGTCTTGCCTTTAACCTCCAAACTGCTCTTGGTCATTTGATATGGTTTGGCTGTGCCCCACCCAAATCTCACCTTGAATTGTAGCTCCCACAATTCCCACATCATGAGTGGGACCTGGTGGGAGATAACTGAATCATGGGGGTGAACCTTTATCATGCTGTTCTCATGAGAGTGAGTAAGTCTCACAAGATCTGACGGTTTTATAAAAAGGAGTTCCCCTGCACAAGTTCTCTGTTGCCTGTCGCCATGTAAGACATCCCTTGCTTTTCAGCCATGATCATGAGGCCTCCCCAGCCATGTGGAACTGTGAGCCAATTAAACCTCTTTCCTTTATAAATTACCCAGTCTCAGGTGTGTCTTTATTAGCAGCATGAGAACAGACTAATACACAATTCCTGGGTGTGGGCCAATCTAACTTTGGGAGAACTTTATAGTTTAAATAATATCCCTTAAACTAAGCCATCTTTGTAAAACTTAAGCCGACAGGTTAAGAGAATTAGAGGGGTCTGCATTCTGCTAATATGTAGGTGTAAATGACTAGGAGCCATTATTCCAATGAATTTGCAACTTCCCTAATTACTCCTGTAATTAACATCACTATTGTAGAACCTACAATTGACCTTTTGAGATGTTTCTTCAGGCTTTTGTATTTCTAATGACTGATGTCCCATTTGGACTCTCCGTCTTCACACTGGGACCATTTTCAACACCCCTATGACTGCATCCCCAATCAATCAGCAGCTCCCATACCCTAGCTCCAGTCCACCTGCCAAACTATCCTTGAAAATCCCTAGCCTGCTAATTTTTGGAGATTGATTTGATTACATGCCACAGTGGCCTCATATCAATTAAACTTTCTTTACTGCAAAAAAACAAAACAAACAAACACAAAAGCAATAAAAAAGAAACCAAAAACCCCCTTTCTTCTTAATGATTTTCTTAATGACATCTGGGAACCTGTCTGCGCCTCTTGGTCAGCAAAAGATGCTTCTCCTGTTATCCTGACTTTTTCTTTTTTAAGCCAAACCTCTTCCAAAAATTACCAAACCATCTTTTGCTGGCATTAAATTATCCAGCTTTAGATCTTTCACCTTTTTTTGTAAGTTGCCATATAATGATTTTTTTTTTCCTCTGTGGCTTAAAATCCAAACTCCTTCCCAGGGCATCCAAGATCCTCTAACACCTGGCTGTATCCTAGATTTCCTACTCCATTTCCAGCCTCCCCATTTCCTCCAACCACTAACATCCCAGACTTTTCACCACTCTCTGCTCACTATGTGGAATGACTTTGTTTTTTCTTGAATCATGTTAGAGTCTGCAGGTATGCCTTTCTTATAGCAATTCTGCACCCACATAAAAACTGGATTTTCGTTATAAGGGGTTTTGCAAAAAGTACATGGTTTTTGCACCTGTTGGCATAGCTGTAGCTACAACATCATAAATTTCCTTTAGATATACATAATGGTCCTTACACTGGATTCACTTATCTTGAAATAGTGGGCAACCACAGCTGCACACCACATTCTACAGTACATATCAAACGATTCAACTTTTTCTTTGTAATGTCATGACTTTTCTCTGCTTCTTGAAAGTACTTCCAGCATCAGGTAGTGGCATGCTAAATGTGTCCTTTGGTGTTACCCAAAGTTTGTGAAATTGCACTAAACATGATGAAAAATACAACAGAACTTCAAGATCACTTTTTCCTGAAGGGAAGGACTGATCACATGGCCATGATTATCACACAGTGTTTTAAGGAGATAATCACAATTATTGGGCTCACTGCAAAAGCAACAGGAGGTAGCTATAAAATTATTACATTAGTATAGTATATACTACAGTTAATTTTATGTAGTTACAATTTAATACTTCATCATTATGTTTATTTACATCTCTTGACTGCAAATAGCGCCATGTTGTCTGTTGTCTGTGTACATAAGTTTTGATAAATTTTACCCTTTTATAACAGATTTGTGCATATTTTATTGTAGTAAATGATAAAATAGACTAGTGTCTACATACATTTTATGCATTCATGACATGCCTTTTTCTTAATTTTTTCAATATTTCTAGGCTACTTGGTTCACCTGTGAGTTTTTTCAAACCATTGCAAATCTTCAAAACATTTTCCAATATATTTACTTTAAAAACCCACATATAAGTGGACCCACACAATTTAATTCCATGTTGTTCAAGGGTCAACTGCATAAAAAGGGCTTAAAACAGTGCTTGGCACACAGTAAATACTGAGAATTAATGTTGGTGAAACCATAATAGAGGCTTAGATATCCAGCTCCACTGAAACACACATGGACGTTTCTGATGCCTGCTTTTCACTAGGGCTCCACAACCACCTGGTCAAATACTGTGTTGGAATTAGATATATGTCTTCTTTCATAGTAACAAAATTCTTTATACTGAATTGAATTCCACAATTCTGCTCATTATGATAATAATTATTCCCTCTCCCACTCCACCAATTCATTCAGATCCTATGACCAAAATTAATGAATTCACTCCTCTAGGTTTCAGAATTATCTAACTACTAAACGTTCCCACTGTTAGGCTGTAGCAACACAATATAATAGCATACCTTTTGGATTTCTTCAGGCAAAGCATGCACGGGAATGTGACGATCCATAACTTCCCAAAATATGGTGAGAGAGCTTTGAAGCAAAAAGAAATCTAAGAACACTGATGGCAACAGTCAAACAGAAATAATGTAGAGAACATTCAAACTAAAATGCTTTATAAATTCTTGGGAGTATTTGGGGATGAATGGTGATAACTGTTTCAACAGATGCTTATTTCATCAGCTCAATGTTAGAAAGTACAATTAGGGTTTTCTCCATTAGTTATTGGGACAATAGAACAGGAGAGAACTATAGAGACTGCTAAGTTAGAAAGAATATTTTCTCTTCTGTTAGAACTTTATAGTCTAAGAGTAATTTCTGCTGTGATTTACTACTAATTGTTTTTTAAATACATAATGACTAAAATTTTAAATACACATTTCAGTATATTTTAAAAATCAAGTATTTTTCTGAAATGCTGCCAGAAAAAGTATGAAAACACAGCATTTAAGTTTAGCAGATGAAAAAAGCAATTGTGTCATGAATACTGGATTAAATACAGAAAGAGAGAATTTAGAGTTACCAGATTAAATATCATATGCAAATACTGAACTGAAGACTGATCAAAAAATAAGAAGTGCCAATTTTATCTAAGATGGACATTTACATAATTTTATGCAGATATTTTACTTTTAACAGATTTTCTTTTTCTAATAAAAGCCATTCAATATAAAAGTGAGTCACTACTTTCATAAAACTACAGAGGATAAACGGAGGAGCACTTTGGGTTCCTTTTTTTTTTTTTTAAATCCTTCCCTCACGAGTGAGGGCTGTTTGTACATATCTAAGGAGTCAGGAGAAGAGGGAGAGCAGTGACAGCAGAGTCAGATGATACAGGCACAATTCCATAGCAGGAAAGAAGGCCTGAGGACCATGAGTTATAGACAAGAGCAGTTTAAGAGTTCAAGAAAGGAAAATATCTTATGTTTCAGATGAGAGGTGGGAGTTAGTGAAGGCTTCCTGAGGTTGTTCGCATTCAATCAGGGCGGGATTTTGAAAAGAGAGACTGGAGGTACTCTATCAGAGACAGCAACCCCGGCCATACAGCAAAGCAGCAGGAAAATTGTAGTTGTCAAAAGGTCCTATAGTGGCATTATCTTTGTAAATGGTGCAACCACTAGTGGAAGAGAAGATTCCTTGTTCCTTGTGTTAGCACAAAGACTCATTTCAGTGAGGTGCTGTTTAAAACCAAAAACTAACGAGCTTTATGTCTTCCCACATAAAACATAATATGACAAGTGTCTTAAAGTTAACTGAGGTCTGCAACGGACGTACCATTAACCATGTCAACATAGGTCCAACCATAATCGGATGTTTGGCAGATTTGTCATAATCATGTGGCAAGAGCCCAGAAGGTTCATTATTCTCATTTCTGTCATTTAACGGTGGATTTGCCATCAGTAAAATAAAACAGTAACTTCAACTCTATTGGGAGAATTTTCCAAAAAATCACCATCTAAACATCCTTTTAAAATTTCACCCATAAAACTATCTGAGAGCACGGATCTAAATGACAGTAGAAGCAAAGCACCAGTAGAACAGTTTTTGTGTAGTGCCCTCATTGTGAATCTATTCCAACTTTATGGCCTTAGCATAAGAAGGGGAGGAACTGGCAGGTTATGATTATTGGGGGGAAATTAAAAGTAAAATATCCTGCCAACTCAGAAAATGCTCCACATTGCAGAAAGACAACAATTTTATTAGTAATTAGGCATTTAACTAGACTTTGATGTACATCACAGCTAATCTGCTAATGAGGTTACAAAGAGAGAAGGAAATCCCACTCTTCTTACTACAGTCAAGGAGATACAATCCGTCGCACACATTCTCAAGGAAATTGGTAACGTGTCCTCATGGAAGAGGGCTTAACATAGTGTTCTATACATTCTTTTATATTTCTTCTTTAATTCATCTGGTAATTGGGGTAACCACCTGTATTAGCTAACGGCTTCCCTCCTAAGGAATGCATAGCGCTATAACAAAGCAGGTGTTTACAATTAGGAATAACGCAGGTAGGTTAAACTCCCAAAGCGATAAGGAGATTGGGGCCCTCTCTTCCTTGATGTTTACATTTTAAAAGAAATGGCTTCCAGGTCCTCAAGAAAAGCATTCCTAGGTTTTAAAAAAGATTTTCATACATATTAAATTGAGGAAGAATTCACAAATACTAAGTTTCTCGAGAAAGAAGAAGGGTCTCTTTCCCTTTTGGCAACAGGGAAAATTTGTAAATTTTTAAAATTTGGTCTTACATAGTTTTGCGTGTGTTATCAAACAAGTCCCTTTAATTTTTCTCATTGCACGTGTGTGGACTGCACTTTGGCAAGAGGTGCAGTGATAAGTGGCCGCAGCTACGTGAGTGTTTGTGAACCTCCTCTCTAACAAGATCACCGAAAAGACATTTTTTAAAATGCAGACACGTCCTTGTTCATTTCCAATTCCGTTTCTCACACCAGTGTCACGTTAGGCCATTACCTCACGTTCAGCTTTCAAGCCCTTACGTAAAGAACCACTGCCTTAGCGTGAATCACACCACTACGAGCAGGTCAGGGGCAGGTGAAGGCGGGAGTTCACGTCCTAAGACTTCCCTGAAGCGGCGGGATCTGCCGCACAGAAACCAACCGCAAGGCCAGACAAAACTGCTGGAACGGCTTTCAAATCTGTCCCTTTCTAACCCCGTTCCCCCTGGACCTGCCGTGGCCGGAAGAGGAGGAGGAGGAAGGTGCGGGGGTGAGGAAGCAGAGCCGCGCGTTCCCTGGGGCTGGGAGGAAGGCGGACCGCGCCTGGGACCCGCGGGCGGGCAGAGAGCAGGAAGGGGCTGCAGAAGAGTGTGGCGGCGGAGGAGTCCAGGCCCGGGACCTCGTGCCCTCGCTGGGGCACCGCGGCTCAGCTTTCTGGTCCTCTCCCCGGGTGCGAGCACGCCTCCACTCCGGAACTGCATTCCGGTGGACCGGGTCATCCCAGGCTGAGGAAAGCCATCGTCCCTCACCTCGACTTCGACTACGACGGGTGTGAAACGGCTTTCCTGGTCTCCCGGGCGACCGCGCCGCCCGTCGGCTTGACGTCAGGGCGCGGCGACGTCACGGCCCACGTCTGTCGTCAGCGCTCCCCTGCACCGCCCAGGGCCTCACGCGCCGGGCGGAAGTGGGAAAACTGGTGGTGGGGCTGGGAAGGCGGGGGTAGTTTTACGCGGAGTGTAGTGAGAAGGAGGGAAGGGGATCGAGGGATGAGGCGGGCGAGAGTGGGTCGGGTGCTTGGTAGCGGCTGCTGAGATGGAGGGAGCTATCCCACCCTCGTGGGGGTTTGGAGAGAGGCACTGCCGGGAGTTAGGAGCCTATAGCCCTACCTCTCACCCCGGCTCTGGGGCTATGTGGCTGACATAGCAGTGAGCAGTTACTGTTCTTGAGCGGAGGAAAGAGATGCCTGTAGAGGTCATGGGTGTAAAGGGAAGTTCTAGTTTCAGTCATTACAGCAAGGGCAAATTAATTGGGAAGGCGTTGGTGACATTTCCATTCTACTCCAAAGTAGTGAAGATTAAGGGCTTAGTTCAAAAAGTATTTTGAGACCTCCTAGTCTACACTTTATTTATCGCAGGCTACCCACCCTTACACGTGACAAACTTCCCTTTATTCATACATTCATTCACAAAACAAATATTTATTGACCTACTACGCGACAAGCAGAGCAGCATACCGAGATAGGGTAATACTCTGTGACTGGTCAAGGAAGGAGCAGCCATTGGTATAATTAGCAGGTGACTCATTCGTAGTCCAGATCTTGCCTTTCTGAGGATTATATAAGGTCCAAGTACAGTTCTTCCAAGAACCAGAGAAAATATCATGGCTCTCTAGCAGGCAGAAAGACTGGTTTGCTATTGAATAAAATAAGGTTAAGTAAATACAAAGAAAATTAATTGAACCTATAGATTTAGATAAATGATTAAATGACGCACAGCAGTATCAGTACACCAAACTGCTTACTCATAACTATTGATTAATGACACCAGGAAGTACTGAACACTGCAGTGCCTTGTTCCTTGGCACTAAAAAGTCTAGCAGATGTATCTTGTACGCGCAACCTGACTGATATTTTTGCCCCAGTGCCTACCCTTGATTTTGTGTTTCCACTCCCTCAAAGAGGAAAGGATTAAGAGGCCTGGAGGACAGTCAACCAAGTGGTCAAGTACAGCATGCTTATGAGAAGCCCAAATAACTTTCAGAGCTATTCATCCTCATCATATTTATCTGAGGGATAGTGAAGGTAAGACTGCTGTCATTTTGTAATAATGGAAGTTTAGATATAGGGCACCAAAACCGGTACCTATCTGGGACAGAAATTCTCAAGCCTGATGCAAGATCACTCTGTTCTGAGGCTAGTTTTATTTATTGAGTACTTTGTGTATAGGATAAGGAAAAGCAACGCTTTAAGGATGGGAGAAAATCCAGTTCAAAGGCGCAGTTCACTCTGTGGTTTAATTTCATCTGTGTTTATTTATCTGCATATTGCCTTTGTGACCAATTTCCACCGTAAATTTCCCTTAGACCTGCACTGTCCAGTAAGGTGGCTTCATGTAACTAATTTCACTAAAATAAAGTATGTTTAAAAATTCCATTGCTATATTGCATTAGCCACATTTTAAGTGCTCAGTAGTCACGTAGGTACGGTATGATACACCATAGATATTGAACATTTTCATTATTATAGAAAGTTGGGCTGGGCATGGTGGTTCATGCCTATAATCCTAGAGCTTTGGGAGGCTAAGGCAGGAGGATCCCTTGAAGCCAGGAGTTTGAGACTGGCCTGGGCAATATAGTGAGAGACTGTCGCTATAAAAAAAAATTAGCGTGGTGTGGTGACACACACCTGTAGTCTTTACTCAGAAAGGCCTAAATGAGAGGATCACTTGAGCCCAGGAATTTGAGGCTGCAGTGAACTATGATCTGGCCACTGCACTCCAGTATAGGTGACAGAGCCTGACCCTGTCTCTTAAAAAAAGAAAACAAAGAAAAAGAAAGTTGGAAAGCAGTAGACCCCAGTAACAATTTCAAGGGATAAGAGTTAAGTTATGAAGAATGACATTTTTTAAAGGGTAGCAGCAAAAAGTGTTATTCCTGAAAGAAGATAGTACACAGGAAGTGTTGTGACAAGATGTTACAAATTAGGTTTAAGAAAAAAACAAAACAAAGCCATGAATCCTGTGCCCTGTGTAGGTGTTTTGTCTTAGTCTGTCTTTTCAGGTTTCTCACTTGCCCTCCTTGATCCTTCTTCTCACCCCATTACTGTCCATACTAGAACTGAAGTACAATTTAAAATAATCCCATCATTGGGCATATTGAATAAAGTTTGGGTTATCCCATTAATTTTTAATTGAGTGAATTTTCACTTTTTACTGCGACTTTTAAAAATTATCCAGTAATAACCAAATTAAGCTGCTAACTTCTTTTTATGACCCTTAATTTCCCGTCTCCCAACCCCATATTGTCAGCGACCCCTGGGGAAGGAAATGCTCTCTAGTTTTTGGAATAGACTTTCTAAAGCAACTAACCTAGGGCTTTCCACATGGTCTGCAGAACTTCGTGTTGGTTTATGAGGACACAGTGTCTGTGCTTTTGTTACTGTTGTGAATTTACACAAAATATGTAAATATGTATCCATCAAGGAATTGTTCTTCTTATTCACTTCAAAAAGTAGTTTTAAGCTTCCTCCTTTGTTTCCTCCTCCCCCCCCACCATGAAAAGCATGTACAAGAGGTATGTTGCCTGCAATTCTGAAATTCTGATAACAATGTAGGAACTCTATCCAAGATTGCTTTTTTTTTTTTTGAAACGGAGTCTTGCTCTGTCACCCAGGCTGGAGTGCAATGGCACGATCTCGGCTCACTGCAACCTCCAGCTCCCAGGTTCAAGGGATTCTCCTGCCTCAGCCTCCCTAGTAGTTTGGACTACAGGCACCTGCCACCATGCCTAATTTTTTGTATTTTTAGTAGAGATGGGGTTTCACCATGTTGGCCAGGCTGGTCTTGAACTCCTGACCTTGTGATCTACCCTCCTTGGCCTCCCAGAGTGCTGGGATTACAGGCGTAAACCACTGCGCTTGGCCCAAGATTGCTAATTTTAAAGCGAGCTTAAAACTGTACAAAGGGAGCATGGCAAAATTACATTTAGCCCCAACTTTATTTTCATCCTGCAAACCAGAACCCAGTACAACTCTGTCCCCTCAAAAATGGGAATTAAATAGTTACAAACAGGCCTCGCAGGTTGGAAGCAACCACAGCTTTCACTGCTATTTCTGGGTTCCATCCAGCGCAAGTGCACAAAAGAAAAAAACCTAACATTTTTGAAAAACTAATACTTATTGGGCTCTTTCTATTTGCTGGGCTCTTTCTATTTGCCAGGCACTTCGTACACAATGTCTCATCCAATTGAGAACCCTTCCAAACATAACTCAAGTCAGATCCTACTTATTGTTTATTTTCACACAAATAATGGAAATGGCTGAGACCATGGCCTAACATGAGCACAGAAGTGTACTTGGACCCAATATAAGAGGAAGCACTTGGGCCTCACATACAGTGTTAGTTGACTCTGCCAGCCAGCTACTACCCAGGGGACATCAGCCTATAGTGGATTAGTAACATGTAAATATCCAAAAAGTATTTAATTCTGTAAACCTAACTTTGTCTTACACTTACTGTCTTCATGACTTTTCTGATGTCACTTCGTTTTCAAAAACAGCCACAAGGGACCACTTGCTTTGTTTTACTTACCCTAACACATTTTGTTCCCACCAAGATGTGGATTGGATTTTCTTAATAACATTTTATGTTTGTTAAAACTGCTATTAACATTATTAACATTTAAAGTTTTAAACTGCTTTAAAAAGTTGCTTTGCATATTTTGAACCACAAATAACTCTAGTCTGGAGGTGGCTTAGACCACAAAATACTATTTGTGGGTTTAAGCTCTGTATCTTTTTAAATCCATCATATGTACAGCGTAAACTTGAGTACCTAATAAAATAAATGTCACAATGTTTAAATAGCATTTCTCTTTAGTTCAAATGCTTTGTCATCTGTGCAGGAATAAATTGTGTGCTGAATTCTTTTTAGCCCTGAGAATATAATTATTGAACAAAATTTCCAGTGAGACAAGTTAGGCCTTTAAATGATAAATATCCTCAAATATTAACAGTAAGTCAAGCATTACAGCAAAACCTTTGATTATTGTAAAGGTATTTCCTGTGGTAAGTTCACTACTGATAAGAGCTTTTTATCCAAAACTGTACTATGTGCCAAATACAACTCAGTATTTATTACATTATTATATTTTTAAAAAACAAAAAGAATAGGCTGGGCACGGTGGCTCATGCCTGTAATCCCAGCTACTTGGGAGGCTGAGGCAGGAGAATCGCTTGAACCCAAAGGTGAAGGTTGGCAGTGAGCCGAGTTCGTGCCACTGTACTCCAGCCTGGACAACAGAGTGAGACTCTGTCTCAATTTTAAAAAAAAGAATAAAGCTCTAATGGCACTAACTTAACACTCTTGTAATGAATTTGATGCTCAAAACGTGGTACTGATAGCTCTTAAAGAGATTATTCTGTAATGTAAATTAACCAAATTCCCTTTATTAAACTCAGCATCCAATAAATGGCCCATAATAAGCACTTAATAAATGCTAGTAAGTTCAAAGACTGAATATTGATAACTGCTTTATACACTTAAAAACAACTTTTGTACTTTATTATTTGCTTGTTTAGTGAAATTATTGCTTCATTTCTGAGATTTTCATAGGATTCTAATGAAGAATCTAAGAATCCAACTCACATTTGTTTTGACAAGTGATTGGTAAAAGTGATTTCATTCTCCCTTTGTAAAGATGAAGTTAATGTTTCTATACCTATTATTTTAGGTAGCTACTGAATTTACAGGAAACAAAGTATAAAAATTTTTCTGTCATTTTATTCTGCCTCCATTAATAGTGTTTTTAATGCCATTAAATGAGTTCCAAATCATCTTAAAGATATTTTCTTAGGAACTACTGATATCAAATATCAAGCATTTTATGAGATCTATCAAACACATGAAAAATACTAAAATAATTACAGTAGCCCTGTTTGGCAATGATGTAGAGCAATTAGCAATCTTAAACACTACTGTTTGGGTGAAAAATTAGAACATTTATTATGTTTTAAACCCCTTGAAATGTTCAAAACTGTTAGAGGTGACACGTGATCCTCCTTCTTCCTTTTTGTTCAGGAATTCAGACCTCTGTACTGCCCTCCCCCCATCCTACCCCAAGCACACATGAATCAGTCCAAGTCCAGAAGTGAGTTCAGATTATATCAACTCTGTTAGCACCTTCCCCTTTACCAGTGATTAAATCAGAAATGCGTCTATGATCCAATTATGACTAGAAGTTCCAAGAGACGTTTGCTGGAGGCTTTAGGAAAATTCTTTCTTATTAGCACATATATTCAGCGTTCACCACAGTCTTAAAATGTTTAAAAATAGGAAATACTAAAATGTGAAATACATTGATTTACTCAAACAAGAGTGTGCAGCTGTTAGAAATGATGATGTGGTTCTTTGCTGATGTGGTAGAATGTCCCAATAAATTGTTTTGTGAAAAAAAGCAAGTTAAAAAGTGTTATAACTACAAGAAAAAAAAAAACCCACAGTATTCTAAACAGCATTCTAAATGTACATTTTATTATTTCTATAAATATATATCTCTTCTCATAGAATCAAAAGAGGTAAACAATCAAGTTTCAGGAAAGCAGGAGCCAGTATTGCTTTGAGAATCTCAGATAGCAATGTGAAAGTTGCGAAAGCCATAAAAAGGCTCAGCCCTTAGAATCTACAACTTAATGAAAGTTGGTTCCATTTTCTTTTATTGTTGGCAGTCTCCGCACATGGCAGAGCAGTGGTGGCTGATGGTCCAATTTTGTCACCAAAAGGAACCAGGGAGAAGGCATCTATTCCTACCTCCTGTTAGAAAATTGCCAGGAAATGACTTTCTTTGGCACACCTTGAATGATATGCAATCTTTTTAACCAAATTACCTAGGCCAGGAGGAGTCAAGTGTTGTTTGCCATTGGCTCAGCTTGAGTCAGGTATATGCCTCTCGACCAACTGTGGGGACCAAGTAGGCAAGGCCACACACACTGACACCTCCCTTTCTAACTACATTCTAGAAGAGTAAAGGCAGAAGCAGAATCCAGGCAGGAAGGGTAGGCAGTTCTGTCCCAGAAGAAAGTAAGTGTGCTGGGCAGACCAGGAAAAAAAAAAAAAATCCCACATATACTTACGTGAGAATCAGAGTCAGCTGGGAGAACATTTTAAAATTAGTGAATCCTGCTCTCTTTTTCCCACATGCCGTAAGCTGAGATGAGAATATGTATTTTTAAGAAAGCTTCCTACAAGTTTATTGTGTCTATTCTAACTCTAGAGAATACCCCCTTTCCTATAATGTTACATGTATCACAAAAATAAATGTGTGTGTAACAAGGCACCATAGGCCTACGAGTCATAATAGGGAAATAAGTGAGCATAGATTCATCAAATCAAAGTTTAAGTGCATAGAAAATAAACCAATGTGGAATTTCCCAAACTTCCAGTTGGACTGGGTGCTTTTGTGTTAAACATTTTTTGTTTTGCCCTCTAAACTTGATTTATCTCCAAATCTACAAACATTATGTAAATAGATATCTGTGCGGGCAAAACACTTTTTGCTCACACGATCTTGAGAAGGAACTTAGATTCTGGCGTCTTAAAACGCGGCACCTTTTTTATGTCCTTGGGGCTTTCGAGTCAC